ATACTTCTTCATTGTGGGAGCTGTTCTGTGCATTGTAGGATATTTAGCAGCATCCCTGGCCTCTACCCACTAGATGCCAGTAGAAGCCTCCCAGTTGGGATGGCCAAAACTGTCACTAGACTTTGCCAAATCTATCCTGTTTCTCTACCGTTTTATTCTTTCTCACTAGGTTTAAGAGAATGTAGCATTCGGGGAAAGGCATTTTATCTGGAAACTAGAATTTAGGCAGAAGACAAGGCTGGAGTAGGACCAGATGGTCCGAAGGGTCTTAATTGCCAATTGACCTGCCAAGGTGTTAAGATTTTTGGCTGAAGCTAATGATAAATCATTAAGGGTGAGGGGGATACATAACCAGATTTGCATTTTAGAAAGAGATCACTCTAAGAACAGTGTGGAAAAAGGTCCAGAAAGGTGCACATTCAAGAGAGGGAGATATACTTCTTTCATAGCACTTAGCACCTTTTGTACTTATTTCATTTTCATGTGTTTGTCTGTCTCCTTTACTAGATTGCAAATTCCATGAGATTCGGGAATTCCTGCTTTGTTCACTACTGTCACTCCATTACATCAAAACTCAAGAGATATTTAGAAATGAAACACCAGCAATCAGACAGTCAATTTCACTATTATTCATAATAATAGCAACTACCGTCTGTGGGCATGCGCCGCAAAGTAAACTGCTTTGGCAACATCTTGCTAATCTTCACACCAACCCTATGAGGTAGAGACGGTATATTGTCCACATTTTACACATCAGGAAATTGAGGCTTAAACCAAAAATCCAAACCCATTGCAGTTGAGTCAATTCCAACTCATAGCGACTCTATGGGACAGAGTAGAACTGCCCCATAGGGTTTCCAAGGATGTAATCTTTTTGGAAGCAGACTACCATATCTTTCTCCCATGGAGGGGCTGGTGGGTTCAAACCACCAACCTTTCAGTTAGCAGCCAAGTGCTTTGACCACCGTGCCACCAAGACTCCGTAACTGAGGATTAGAGGGGTTAAATTTTTTTCCCAAGGTCACCTGGCCAAATATGTCGGAGCTACTTTTGTGATTTTTTTTTTTATCAGTGTTGTGCATTTTCTGATCTTAAAGCCAGATTCTACACTGCCATACTTCTTCATGGATATGATATCTGATTACAGTTTTTTACAGTGCTTTTACTCTTTATCTTGCTCTTTGGTTTTTTTATATGTTTCACGAAAATTGTTTCTGAAAAAAAAATCCATTAGTTTTCACACAAAAAGCATTATGGTTTGATATCACAAGTCTTAAGCACTTAAAAAAAATCTGGACCTAGAGGATTAAGCTTTTAGCTCTGTCTACAGTGGTCCATCAGTTCCAGCTCATTTCCTGCTACTTTCCCCCACAGATGCCTTGTGATCCGAAACACCAAACCACTCTCAGTTCCCCAAATTAGATCTACTCTTTTAAGCATTCAGAAATTTACTTTTCTGTCTTAAATGTTCTTTCCTCAACACCCCTCTCCCCTTGTGGGCCTACAACTTCCTACTTAACTTCATTAATCAGCTAAATCCTTTTAGTGCTAATCATCTAGAATGAGATTTAAACTTAGTTTTGCATCAGAATCACCTGAGGGCTTGGTAAAACTGCAGATTCCCTACCTCCAAACCCCAAAATTATGATTCAACATGTCTGAGGAGGGGCCCAAGAAATCTGAATGTTTAACAAACTACCCAGATGGTCTAATACCAGCGGTTTTCAGGCTCCTCTTTGAGAAATAATGTTCTAGTACAATAGAAATGTTCACTGTTGCCCTCACATCAGGCCATGAGCCAAAAACAGTAAACCAGAAGTAAGGACCTCTCGTATTATTTAGTTTAGAGATTATAAAGCATTTTCACCAGATTACCACAATTGATCTTCCCAACAACTTTATAAGGTAGATAAATATACATTGAGGCATGGAAAGGATAAGTGATATGTTTGTTGTGACTCTTACTCACAAGTGACAGAAATCCAACTCAAACTGCCTCAAGTTACATGGGGAAATTTATTAGCTCATACAACTGGTTAGTAAAAGATGTAATTGGCTTAAGAGAATGCTGAGTCCTGGGAAAGATTGTTCTAGAAAGATCAATGCCATTTTCTTATGACCTTCAGTGTTTCTGCCTGCTAGAACTGAGCCCCTGCCAATCTCATGGGCTCTGTAGCAATGAGGCTCAGGCCAATCAGGCAAGGCCCTGGAACGATCAAATGTGAGAAAGAATTACCTATGAAGGTGAGGAAGAAACTGCTGATGGATTAGCCCTTAGATGCTGTGCCTTCCAAGTGCTGATGGCTTTTTAGGACAAGTAGCCCCTCAAGAGGGACCATAAACTGGGATTGTTCAGGATTTCCACAATTTCATATAATATTCCATTAAAGACAATTAAATGCATGACTAAAATGTGGTTGAGTGTTAATATCTTTGTAAGGCTTTTCATATAAATAAATTTGCAAGTTAGAAAAGCAAAAGATTCAGCTTGATCATTACACACACACACACACATCACGTACCTGGAAAAGAGGATGTGTGACACTGTGAGATCAAAGCTGTTGTGCGCCTGAGTGTTCCAAAATCGAAACAGACAGCAAAATAAACCGTGGGAGGTGGGGGCTGGTTAAGCAACATGCCGACTGCTAGAAAAGCAGAACCAACATTACCGAGCACCTACTGAGGACCAGAGACTGTACAAACAGCTTTACTCACCGTGGAACTCTCACAACAAAATTATACAGCAGACTCCACAAGGCTTTCCAGACGGCTCCAGTGTCACCCATCAAGCTCTGGCCCTGTTGCCTCAGGGCTTTCTCTCAAGGGCACTCAGCAGCTCAAGGACATCCCAGAGTGTGAGGGAGTTCATGCTATCAGGGGCAACTCTCAACCAGCGGAAGATGGGAGTTGCTGGTTAAATGCTCCAGCTTCTCTCTCCTGCAGGTGGACAGATCTGAGGGGTGTCTGCATGGTTCCTTAGAGGACTGAGGCCCAGCTGTCACAAGAGAGGAGTCCCTGGGTGGTTCAAATGGTTAATGTGCTTGGCTGCTAACCAAAAGGTTGGTGGTTCAAGGTCACCCAGAGATGCCTTGAAAGAAAGGGCTGGCAATTTACTTCCGAAAACTTGGCCGTTGAAAACCCTGTGGAGCACAGTTCTATTCTGACACGCATGGTGTCGCTAAGAATCTGAGTCAACTCAACAGCAACTGGTTTTAACTGCTTAAATAGTAACCAGGGCATTGACACATCTTTTACAGGCTTTTCTTCCCATTCCTATCTCATTTTCTCCACTCCCTCACTTCCGCTATCTGGGATCACCTTCTAAGTAAAGTTCCTGCCCCTAGTCCTTGTCTCAGGCTCAGACCCAAACTAAGACAACAGGCAGTGATCTCTTTATTTAACAGTGGCAAAACTGAGGCTTAGAAAGGGATTGTGTGCCCTGTCTCTTCCCCCAGATTACTTATAGTCCTTTAACATCTCCACAACCCCCCACCTTCTTCCTTTTACACTTGCCACGCTTTCTGCCGCTTGGATCGTTTTTCCTGCTACCCAGGGAAGTCCTGCCTACCCTTCAGAGTCCAGCAGAATTGCCACCTCCTCCAGGAGACTTTCCCAGTGAGCACACAGCACTTTCTTCTGCACATCCTGTACGCCCCTCCAGGCAGGTACCATGTCTTAATCATCTTTGTAGGCCCCATATAGATTAGCAAAAAACTCTTGTACATAGTGGGGGCACAAAACATTTTTGTTGTGTTAGATAGTATCCAACTGACAGTAGCCCCAACTCACTCCTTTTTCCACTGACTAGCTATTTTTAGGATTTCAGGATTGGTCTAATATTCTAATACAAAAAAAAAAAAAAAATCCTTTGCTTGCTAAGCCAACTGCATTTTGTCTGACTTCAGGATAAAGGGAGATGTAAGAGTTGACTCGAGGGCAGTGGGTTTGGTGTTTGGTTTTAAGGCCATTGCTTATAACTGAAAACCAAACCTGTTGCCATCAGTTTATTCTGACTCATAGCGACCCTGCAGGACAGATTAGAACTGCCCCATAGGGTTTCCAAGGCTGTAACCTCTGTGGAAGCCTACTGCCACATCTTTTCTCCCTTTTGGAGGGTCTGGTGAGCTTGAACTGCCAAACTTTTGGGTTAGCAGCTGAGCGCTTAACCTCTGTGCCACCAGGGCTCGTTCCATTGCTTATAAGAGGTGTTTTCTTATATTCACTGAAGAATAATGGGGAGACGAATGCAACAATATAACAATGGAGGAAGGAAATGAACTAATTCCTGCTTGGAGGAAGTATACAACAGCTGTGCACCCAACTGTAGGAATGTTTTCAAAAAGCAAAACAAAACAAATAAAAAAATGATTAACTATAGGTACTGAAGGCAATACTGAGAATTTTAAGGAGAGATGAGGGAATGTCCCATCAGTGTAGTATCTGCATACTCTGAATTTATAAATGCTGCCTCAAGACTCTAACTAGAAAGAAAGCGATTGCTTGAGGAAATATTTTCTGTGAGAATTATTAACTTCTGTATTGCATACTACTCTCCCTTAGACAATGAAATGATCAGAGGGCTATTACAAATGAATGGATATTCATCATGGCTTCTCCAGGGATGAGAAAGTGTCATTTATGTTGTGAGAGTTTTCCTCTAAATTACCCCCCTCAGGTTCAATAGGATGTCTTCCATCATTCAAAGAAATAAAAGATTGTATATTTTTCTATTTTTGTTCCCAAAGAAAAGTCTATTGTCATTATGTTTGGTTTATTGCTAACATTGAACACAACTCTTCAATAAAATATATGCAATAAGGTAACATGAAGAGCAAAATGAGATTTTTGCCTATTTTAATAGATAGAATTGAAGTAACAATCAACTAGGCAAACAAGGCATGCCAATTAGAAGGAAAGATTCCCCGAAGCCTTGTAAAATGCAATGCAGAGAAAGTAAGTCTGTCTAGCCCCATATTTACAACTGTGGAAGTTATACAGTTACTACATAAATATACGTCAAGATTCTTAGGTGGAACCAGGTACAAATGAAATAAAGGAAAGTTATACATTGGATTTCTATTATGAGGGAAATAAAGAGTACCCCCCATTCCTTGCACCCTCATCACTGCACGTCCCAGATTTCACAGAGAAGTGGTGTAAACTTGTGATCATTCACTCTCCATGACATCAGCATCTCTGCATGGTGATGGTTGAATGTCCGCAATTCAGTCAAGCGACCCAGGAGACATGCAAAGTGTTGAGGATTTTCAGGCTGATAAATCTTGCACAGCTTTTGTAGCACATCAAGCAGTGGTTCTTGCAGCTTCTCTACTGCTTCTCTATCCTTTATGTATTGTCTGTCTGTTTTGAAGTTTAGAATAAAATGGCAAAATAAAAAAGTGGAAAAGTATTAATTTGGTATAATTAAGCAATATTCACTTTTTGAAATGTAACTTATAAACACTGTGTACATAAAATATACAAATTGTAAATGTTCAACATGATGAATTTTACACATCTATATACCCATATATAGGTGGCACAAATGATTAAGCGCTCGACTACTAACCAAAAGGCTGGCACCCACATACGGGCGTCTTGGAAGAAAGGCCTGGTGATCTGCTTCTGAAAGGACACTGCCTTGAAAACCCTTTGGAGCAGTTTTGCTCTGCACGCATGGGGTCTCCATGAATTGGAATCGACTCAATGGCAACTGATTCATACCCATTTAATCACAACTAGATAAGATACAGAACATTTATAGCTCCCAAAAAGGCTCCCTAAAGGTTCCTTTCAGTCAGAACCTCCATATTCTTGTCTCTACCACCTTAGATTCATTTTGCTTGTTTTTGAGCTTTAAATAAGTTGAACCGCACAGTATGCACTTTTTGGCCTGACTTCTTTGGCTCAACATGTTATCTGTGAGATGCATCTGTGTTGCTGCATGTCGCAGTTATTCTTTTTTATTGCTGTCCACACAACATTCTGTTACATGACTATAGCATAATTTACTCATTCTGCTGTTGACAGACATTTGGGTTGTTTCCAGTTTATGACTGTTAATAAAGCTGCTATGAACATTCTTGTACACATCTTTTGATAGAAACAAGCACTTATTTCTGTTGGGTATATTCCCAGGAGTGGAATTACTGGGTCATAGGGTATGTACATGCATAGTTTTAATAGCTACTGCCCAACAGTTTTCCTTTTTTTAATAATTTTTTTCATGGCAAAGTAAATAAAGTAATGGCTAGTTTCTGCCTCAATATCATGTATAAAACTTGCTTAAAGCTAACTTTGTAACTATTCATTATAAATCATGAACGTGGCATCATTGCTCCAAGACTATTAAAATAATTTAAAAATACTTATGCATGGAGAGGTTCATTTCAACATCGTTTAAAACAGCAAAAAAGAAAACATTCTGAATATCCAAACATGATAAAGATTAAATAAATTATTGTACATCCATACAATAGACTATAACACATGCTTTACAACAAACTTTACCAATATAATTTTTAATGACAGGGGGAAGTACTTTTGAAGAAATGTGAACTTAAAAAAAAAAGGTACAAGAAGTCCCTGGGAGAAGCAAATGGTTAAATGCTGGCTATTAACCAAAAGGTTAGCAGTTCGAATCCACTCAGATTTGTTTTTTTTTTTTAATTCTACTTCAGGTGAAGGCTTACAGAACAAATAGTTTCTCATGAAACAGTAGTACACATGTTGTTTTATGACATTGGTTAACAACCCCACGACATATCAACCCTCTAACTTCTCAACCTTTTTATTTTTGGTGAAAATGCACATAGCCAAAGATACACCATTTCAAAAATTTCTACATGCACAGTTCAGTGACATTGACTACACTCTTCCAATTGTGCTGTTATTCTCACTTAAGATGAAGGCTTACAGAACAAAATAGTTTCTCATTTAACAGTTACTACAAATGTTGCCCTATGACAATGGTTAACAATCTCACAACACATCAACAATATCCTTACTCAACCTTGAGTTCCCTATCACCAGCTTCCTTGTCCCCTTCTGCCTTCTGGCCCTTGTCACTGGACTCCTGTACCTCGTTAGTCTCATTTGGTTTTACGGGGTCCACTCAGATTTTTGGCCTTGGAAAAAAGGCCTGGTGATCTGCTTCCAAAAGGTCACAGCCTTGAAAACCCTATGGAACAGTTCTATTCTGCACATAAGAGGTTGCAATGAGTCGGAATTGACTTGACAGCAACTAACAGCAACAATCAGTGCCATCATCATTACCATCATCACCTTACTAACCATTAAAACAAAGAAGTACAGTATGTTCTCTACTATGTTAGAAATTACGTTAATTTTATTTGGGTCCCTGCTCAAATGCCTTTCAAGAGGCTTTCCTAGATCATTAATAAAATAGCCTTCCCCTGTCACTTTCTTTCCTCACATCCTCATCTTCGTTTTGTGGAGCACTTACCACCTCCTCAAAAAAAATTTTGTTTCAAATGAGACTAATGGGGCACAACAGTCCAGGAACAAGGACTAGAAGGCAGAAGGGGACGGGAAAGCTGGTAATAGGGAACCCAACGTTGAGAAGGGACAGTATTGACATGTCATGGGGTTGTTAACCATTGTCATAAAACAATATGTATACTGTTTAATGAGAAACTGTTCTGTAAACCTTCATCTAAAGTACTATAAAAAATTTTTTTTTTTTGTTCATTTATCATCTCTCCCACCCAGCTAGAAAGCCCATTCCATGGGAACTGGATCCTGCCTGTTTTCCTCATTGCTGTATTCCCAGCATCTAGAACCATGTTTAGCACATAGTAGGTATTCAATATGCATTCACTGAATGAATGAATATGATGTTTAGAAAAAAGACTGAGAAGAAGTACACTAAAATGTTAGTAATAGCTCAGTTCGAGTGGTAGGATTATTGGCCATTTTACATTTTTCTTTATGTTTCTGTGTCTTCCAAAATTTCTTCAATAACATTATTACTATTACACCGAGAAAAAACTGAACGGCACAAAATGTAAAATGTAATGTGGAAATTACCTGGAGAGAGGATAACAATTGCTGTAAGCAAAGCATACTCTTCTTGAGTCATTTTCAATTCTCCAACACTTTTGTAAAAACTAAACATAGGCTTTATATATTCATCAGAGATACCTATGGGAGAAATTTGAAAAATTGCTGTGGCATAGTAATATTTTTGAATGATTAAAAAGTATAAAGTACAAACATGTTATTATATGCTCTGTTATGGATTGACTTGTGTTCCCCAAAAAGGTATGTTGAAGTCTTAACCTCTGGTACCTATGAATGTGATCTTGGTTGGAAATAGGGTCTTTGAAGATGTCATCAGTTAAACAAGAGGCCATACTGGAGCTCTGGTGGCACAATGATTAAGCACTTGACTTCTAACTGAAAAACTGGCAGTTTGAACCCACCCAGTGGCTCTGTGAGAAAAAGATGTGGCAGTTTGCTTGCATAAAGATTACAGCCTACGAAACCCTACGGGGGCAGTTCCATTCTGTCACATTGGGTCACTATGAGTTGGAATTTACTTGATAGCATCTAATAACAGCAACAACATACTGGAGTAGGGTGAGTCCTATCCACTCGGAGTGGTGTACTTATAAAAGAGACATAGAGAGACAAATGGGCAGGAAGGAAGGCCATGTGAGGATACATCTACAACCAAAGGAACTCCGGGTACTACCAGAAGCTGGGAGAGATAAATCCCTAGAGACTTTAGCACAGCCCGGCCAAGACGTTGATTTGGATTTCTAGGTTCCATGACTGTCAGAAAGTAAATTTCCGTTGTTTAAAAGCCACCCATTTTGTAGTGCTTTGTTATCACAGCCCTAGGAAAGTAATATACACACATATGTCAATATTCACATCTAAATACACATTCAAATAATTAATGTATATTATTTGTTCCAGCCCAAAACAGGACATTGCAAAGAATATCAGTTAACGAATTCCTCAGATATATATAATCTAAGCAATGATTTGCATGTCTTTGATTTCAGTAGTACCTTCAGTTCAGCTACTAATATCTGACAATAAATGACAAAAAAAAAAAAAAAAAAAACAAATCCCTTGCCATCAAGTTGATTCCAACTCATACCAACTCTATAGGATAGAGTAGAACTGCCCCGTAGGGTTTCCAAGGAGCGGCTAGTGGATTCGAACTGCTGACCTTTTGGTTAGCAGCTGAACACTTAACCACTGCGCCACTAGGGCTCCACAATGAATGATAAGGTTGTTAAATTGCCAAAAGAATCTCAGAACTTCACCATTTTCTAGATGAGGTTTAGTTAATCATTTTGATATTAATGTCTATAATTGAGGCATAGGTAGCATGTTAAAGAACCAACAAAAAATTATTGTTTTTCAGTTCAGAAGTATAAACAACTCCAATTAATAAATTTGCTAGGGTTCTTATCAAAGGGCTCTGGTTTCTCTGAGAAGTACCAAGCCTGTTTCTCCATTTGCTTACTAGGCATTTCTACTTGGCTATTGTCTTCAAAAGGAGCCCTGGTGGCACATAGGTTAAGAGCTTGGCTGCTAACAGAAAGACTGGTGGTTCAAACCCACCCAGCAGCTCTGTGAGAGAAAGACCTGGCAATCTGCTCCCATAAAGATTATAGCCTAGAAAACCCTGTGGAGTAGTTCTGCTTTGTCACATGGAATCGTTATGAGTCGAAATTGACTTGATGGCACCTAACAACAACAACAATATTCTCTTCAAACTCAATAGGTCCAAAATCACAACGTACAGAACTAAACTCCTCATCCTCCTCCAAATCCAGACCTCGCTCAGTGATTGCTATCCTCACTCATTCAGTTGTCAGGCCTGACATTTGAGATTCACTTCTCCTAACTCAGGTGGGGAGTCGTGTGGATTCTACCCACTTATTCTCACTCGACTGACCCTCTCCTTCCACTGCCCTGACATTGGCTTAGTGTAAGCCCTGTCTTTTTTTGTCTGGATTACTGCAGTCGCCTCTTCACTGGTCTTCCTCTTCAATTTCATCCCTTTCAATCCATCCTCTATGCAGATACCAGAATCCCTTTCTAAAACTCAGATTGTACCCTGTCTCCTCACAACCTTTCAAAAGCTCTCCAGGTGAAGTTTTGATTATTTTTCTTTTTACATAGAAACCTTTGGGATCTGGAGCCCTGGTGGCTCAGTGGGTAAATGCTATGGCTGCTAACCAAAAGGTAGGCAGTTTGAATCCACCAGTCGCTCCTTGAAAACTCTATGGGGCAGTTCTACTCTGTCCTATAAGGTCGCTATGGGTTGGAAATGACTTGACAACAATGGGTTGGTTTTCTTCAGGATCCATTTTCTGACTATCTTAACACCCACTACTCAACCCACATGATAGTAGGAGTTTACATTTATTGGGTACTCATCAAGTTTTAGTCACTGTTCTAAGCACTTCTTATGCTATAACTCATTTAATATTTCTGACACCCCATGAGGTAGGCACAGAGAGATTATGTAAAGTGTCCAAAGACACACAGCTGGTGAGAAGTGGAGTCAGGATTCAAACCAAAGCTGGCAGGCTCTAGAGTCCTGGCTCTTCACTCTGATAAGCTGCACTGCCTCTCTATCACACAGCCCTTGCTCCAGCCATATTCAGCCAACAGTCTCACATTGCCAGGCTTTTATCCATGCTGTTCTCTCTACTTGGAATATCCTCCTTCTTTATCTAGCTTCACTCTTTAAGACGCCTTTGTGTCACTTCCACCACTCATTCAACGAATTAGTTTGGTGCCTGTTCTGTGCATGGCTCCATCCCAGAAGATCCTTGGCTGGGAAATTGTAGACACAGAGAAAAAAAGACTGTGATGTGAATTAGGGATGAATTAAGATGAGGGTGAGTTTCCCAGGATTGGTCCAGACCAGAGTAAACGGCTCTATCCCTTCCCAATCAGACCTACAGCCATAATGCTTGGGTTGAATTGAACCAGAATAAAACTGGATTCCAGATGCCAAAGAGTACAATTGTCTTATGTCATCCTTCACTGAATCAGAAAACCTAAATCCCCACCTTTGCAACAGCCTGTAGAATACTCCCAGATTGGATCATTGGCCTTTCTTTCTCTAGTCAAAATACCACAGTCTTCTCCCCTTTGACTTTTGATTGACTCCAGTAAGTTCAATGAATAATACCTTTGTTGAATAACTTGGAGATTATGTAATGTGGAAGATAGCCCTTTATCTAGCTGTTATATATTGGGCCGAATACCCATGACCAAAAGTAGATACAGCTGTAAAATGCAGAGAATTGGAGCATGGTGAGTCCGAGAATACCAGTCCAGCTTTCCAACAAACATAGTGATTAAAAGCTAGTGAGCCACCTCTGAGTTTGATAGCTGACTCCATGGCTTGATCTTGGGCACATTACCTAAACTCTTTAAGCCTTAGTTTATTCATCTGTGAAATGTAGATTACAATAGTGTTATATGAGACAATATACGTAGAGTGCTTAGCACAATGTCTGGCTCATAGTAAGCGGTCAATAAATGTTAAGGAAAATCATAATAACATATTATTATTGTTATGTGGGAGAATTGGATCAATACATTAGTTTAGCTTAATCTCAGTTCCTCTTGATCTTGGTTAGATTAAGGTCATATACTTATGTCTTTACCAAGTTATGTGTTTGCAATTTCCTAGGGATGAAACAAATTGTCTGATCAGTGAATTGCTTCAGTATTTTTCTAGGTACTAAAGCTAAATTATGATCTGTATTGTCTTGGTAGGGCTGTTCTTTTTCACCTTCAAAAAAAATGGCAGTCTTTAGGCTGTCTTCAGCATTTAGGGACTACGTCCATCAACTGCAGTTGCCTGAAATGGCTGTACCATTACTTTAAATAGCATATGAGAATTTGGGGGATATGATTTAAGCCAGCTGATTTTTAGTATTTAAGACCTCATATTTGAGTATTGAATTTCTTATTTTATTTGTCTTTCTAAATCTCCACTCACCCTCCAAAGATGTTACCTCCATTAGCTATCTAATTGCAGTTGATAATTTTTAAGCAAAATTAGGTAAAAATGCTTATTATGATTGTTTCATCTTCTGCATGATTGTAAGGGCCAAGAATGAATATAGGGAAAATGTAGGAAAAAAAAATAGAAGAGTTTTTAAAACATAAGATTTCCTACAGGGTAGATCAAATATAAATCTGCTTTTGGAATTTATCAATAATCAGAATTAACTGTGCCAATATAAATTAAAGAGGTATTTGAACTGCTAGTGCACCAGCAATTTCTAACACAAGAAATGTAATAATAACATCATCCTGAAGGGGACAGCCTTTTCCTGCTTCCTTCTTTGTGCAGACTCACTTAAGATTTGCTTTTTTTTTTTGGCTCTTATGACCAATTGGCTGATTTTTGGTCACAAGGGGGAGCTATTTTCTAACTTAGCCACAAAGACTTTACCATGAAAAACTTCACAGATGTGAAAAACGGTTTATGTTTCTTACTTGTTTATTTTTCTTTTTTTAAAAAAGAGGTCTATGATTGATAAATTAATTCTTCCATGATCAGAAATATTTTAGAGAATAACCACTTGGTAGAATTAACACTGTGCTGTTCTCAGTTGTTATTTTAAATGTAAATATCATTTGTTTCCTACTTCCTAGATTTAATTGGGAGCAAAAATAAACCAGAGGTTAGGTACATATTATACAAGACACATTTCCTGCTATTTTAAATACCTGTTTATGATTAATTGGAGCCCCTGGGTAGTGCAAACAGTTAACGTGCTAGGCTGCTAACCAAAAGGTTGGAGATTTGAATCCACTCAAAGGCTCCTTGGAAGAAAGTTCCGGCAATCTGCTTCTGAAAAATCAGCCATTGAAAACCCTATGGAGCATATTTCTACTCTGACACACACAGGGTCACCAAGAATCAGAGTTAACTCAACAGCAACTAGTATATGATTACTTAAAATTGACAGTCTTAAAAAAGACCAAGAACCTTGTTAAAATGTTGCTATTTTCTCAAAACCATGTAATCTGAGATTTTTCTAGAAATGACAACACCATCCCATAGCATAGAAGTTAAGATATAAGCACACATGGCCTACAAGGCTATGTCTGTCTTCTGCTTTCCTTTCAACCTAAGCTCTCTCCATCCC